CAGAACCGACTCCACGGTACTTAACAACAACAACAACATAACAGTGCACGGAATCCAGCAGGCGTGTCTAAGAATGCGACTACACAAGTCTTCCCCCTGTGTAAACTAGAACGAAACACTGCCCAGCTCGGCACCATCCTCACAACTGTCATGTCTGACCACTGTAGCAGTCCATTGTGCTGAGGGTCGTCCTCTTCCTCATGCCAAGCATGTCATCCCTCTCTAGGAACTGGTTACTCCTCAGCTTCTAAGGCGCGTTCTGGCTGGACGTCTGCTAACACCCAAGTGCTCATTCTTCTAGCAGTCCTGGTAGAGTAATCGTCCTTGCCAGCGCCATCATTCAAAGGCATCCAATCTTTCACATGCATAGGAGACGAAGATATTACGGCTTGGGTCAGGCTCACCGTAGTCTTCAAAGTGACATCTCTCAGCCGACTTTTCCCAGTGGAGACATGGTTTCCATGAGCTCTGATGGTGGATCCCAGTACAGTGAAATCCTTGACATCAATCTTTCTCCATTGATTATGAAGCTATTACTGGACCAGTTGTGAGCAATTACTTGATCAGTATTAATGACTGAGAAATGCTGCTAGCCTTCACGAGGCTTAAGAGAATAGGGTTTTCAGGGGCTCACAGGGAGGTGTTCCAGAACTTTCTCAAGGTGTTGGGTCCCCTGAATTCATAGCCAGGACTGCAGGTGTGCAAGCAGACGCAGAATCCCTCACAGCCTGGGACTCTGCGGCTTCCCTAAGGCACTGCTCTAAGGTGTGGGGACCTTTCCCTCTGTCTGGGTCACACTTGCTTTACCTGGGAAAACGGACAGGAAGCTAGCAAGCTGCAGTGATTCACAGGCAGTCTGAAGCCCTGGACCTGCCATTTATTCCCCCAGAAGAGCACTCCCTAGCTAAGCAAGCTGCGGTAGAGAGAGACCCTTCGACCTGGCTCGCTCATCAGGAATGCTGTGCTGCCTGTAAAGGAAACGTTTTTGCTTTTATTTCATTTTGGTTTTACTACATGAATTAGGTCTTCCAGCAATTTGTTTTAGATCTTAGATTTCTATTCCTTAACGGGAAGCTGACAAAGAAGGCCTACGGCTTTCAGTATGTTTAGTGGAAAGCAAAATCGACACTTCCTCTAGTCAGGTCAACAGAACCACCTGACGTAAGGTACAGCGGTCTAGTGGTAAAGACAACAGACTCAGAGACAGAATGCGGGGGGGGCTCAGGTTTGCTCATGAACAGTGTGAGTGAGCACATTTACTAATCTCAGTGCGCTTCAGCTGCCATGACTGTGGGAATTTCTATAAGGTGACAAGAGAGAGAATCCTCGTGAGCACCCACCACACTGATGAACACACTGAAGTGTTCAGTGAACAGTAGCTGTGTTTGTAATGAGATAAGCCCATACAGATAGCGTAGTGGTGACAACTCAGCTGCGAACCGCAAGGTCAGCAATTAGAAACTACCAGCTGTTCCATGGGAGAAAGATGAGGCTTTCTGGTCCCGTAAAGATTTACAGCCTCGGAAACCCTGTACGGGGTCGCTATGAGTTGGAACCAACTCCACGGCACATAACAACAACAACAAGCCGATACAGACAAAGAACGTTAGCCTCTGTCCCGTGTGCATGGCACACATGTCCACACAGTGTAATGATGATGGAGAAAGGCACAGGAAATGTGGAGGGCAGGATTCTTGATTTAAGTCAAACACATCTGATGTCCTGGAAACTAAAGGTTAGCAAGATATCCATGGGAAAAACACCAACTTTAGGGAAACAGAACTGCTGCTTCCCCTCCTCTCCAGCATTTTCCCAGTGACCACCAAAGTGAATTCATTGTGGCAGTCTCGTTTCACTTCCTCTCTTCCCAGCATACTGTGGGCAGTGCTACAAGAAAAAGGCAGGCACAGAGGGCTCTCTTCACAGCAAAATTGAGACTGAAATAATAGAAGATTCACAGAGTTATTATGAATTTATCAAACACAGCAAAACTTTGAGGAATATGTAGGCCCTGAGTTCAAAATCATGTTTTCTCACATTTTTGGAAAATAGAAAATATTATTTTCCATAGTTAAAAAGCGATTAGTTAGATTTACTGTATAAAATGAATTCTTATCACCGATTAGAATTAAACTGCCAGGAAGACACACAATTAATTGTCTAGTTTGAGAGAAAAAAGGAAAATTTTGATTGGTTAAATATTCATGTCACTATACTGCAGAAAAGCCGTGTTCACTTTCAAAATCGACGGTATTTCATCCGCAAATCAGCTGTTTGTAAACCCCAGTGGATTTATGGTAAGCTCCCCACCTAAGCCACAGTAGTCTGTTTGATAGCCACTCACCTAAGCCAGGGTGAAGGGACCCTGAGCTTGAATTATGGTCCTTAAAGGACACAAAGGAGCAATACTGGGAGAGGCACGAGGAGGAAACACTTCCTGTTTTTCCTGAAAGAGCTAACTTACAGGAAAAGTTCAGTCTCTTTCAACATCCTGGTACCTGTTGGGCCTTATAGAGGACTTGATTGAATTCATTCACTTTGGAGTTTGAGGGACCACTGCAGGAACGCACATTCCTAGGGCTGAGTAGAGTGTGATACATCATGGAGATAGCTGGGTAACACAGCTGGGCAAACACATGCACTACATCCTGGTTTAAACCTGCCTCTGTGTTACTCTGAATTTACTTGACACAGCTTTTCTATCCAATGTTGTCTTAATTCCCATCAGGTGATTGGGTGGGACCATGCAAATAAGGTGTATAGGACTCTTACGGCTGGGACTGGTTAGTTTTGCCGTCTAGCTAGGTTTAAAAGGAACCATATCAGAAGCAGGAACAGAGGATCCTGGACCATCAAGAAGGAAGAGCGTGAGTGGAATATGAGATCCCTAGCTAGATAATCTGCAATAGCAGAGGCAACAGCATGAAGAGACAGAGCAGCTGTGGGTTCTAGGCCTGCCGTCTACGTAAAGCAGGAGACTGGCTTGCAAAATGTGCCCATTGGGCACTCACAGACTGGCTACAAGAGCTTTGTATCATCTGCCTGATCAGGACAGAGGCCGAGGAGCCACGTGGCTGAGAAACTGAAAACAAGAGTGAGGCATGTCTGCAGGACGGTGGTGGTAGTTTTGTGCTGTGGAGTTGGTTCTGACTCATAATGACCAAGAACAGGGTTTCCGAGGCTGTAAATCTTTATGGGAGCAGAAAGCCTCATCTTTCTCCCGTGGAATAGCTGGTAGTTCTGAACTGCTGACCTTGTGGTTTGCAGCCGAGCAGGGCCGGTGAAAGAGAGAAAGACTGACAGGTGAACGGCTGTCCAGATGTAGTACCATCAGCTGATGAGCAGCTCTGGCAGCAGAGGGAGGCCTGGTATTGTGCGGATGATGGGAAAGGTACAGTTGCTTCTTTTACCCCACGCTACCAGAGTAGAGAAGAGGTATTCCTGACTGGAAAACTGCAGCATTCTGAGTTGGTTTTGATCCTGAATTGTACCCTGTTCATTTCCCTAATAAACCCCAAAATTGCGAGTACTGTTGAGTTCTGTGTGGCCGTTGCAGTGGATTGTTAACCCCAGATGTGAAGCAGAGTGCTGTGGGAGGGATGGTTGGTGTCAGAATGGGGGAAAGAAGGCTGTAGGGTGGAGGCATGTTTGACCTCTGCTTCACAGGAATCGGCCTTAGGCTGATTTTGCATTTGAGTCTCTTTCCTCCTTGTGAAGACAGAGGAAATCAGACATGGTCCCTACATGAGGTTTTTCAGCCCCTCCAAGGGGTTGGCACCCATCTTGCCAGAAACCCAAGGGTTCTTCATATCTTCCACTTGTGAAACCACAGGCTCTTGAGATTACAAAGTCTTTATCATGGTTCAAGAGTCAGGGAGGGGGCAAAAGTATGTAGGAGTTGTGAAGGAAATGAGTTATCTGTAAATCAGGGACCAATATACATCTTCATAATCACACAAGCGAAATATAATACTTGCAACATATATTTCAAATGTATGTTTTACACAGAAATTACTACCACTCTTTGAACCAATTAAAAAGCAAATGTTGCTAAAGGATCTCTTTAAGAAGACTGATGTTAGAATACAGAAGATAATTTAAGTGAACCAGTTTCTCATGGCTTCACTAAATCTACTCTAAGATTGCACCATGTGTACAATTTCTAGGAAGTTCAAGATGGGATTTTCTTTAAATGGGACTCCATACTTAGGTCTATGAGGTCTGTGTTTTAAAAGGTTGTTTTGTTTTTAAAACACCATAACTGAGAATCAGACTCCTGGTGTCGTGTTGTAGGGTCAGCACTGGACTTAGAACCACAAGGTTGGCAGTTCAAACCCACCAGCTGCTCCACAGAAACCCTGTACAAGGTTGTTATGAGTCAGACTGACTCGACAGTACTTAACCACAACTGAGAACTGAAGGTGAGATTATTAAATTGTCCTCATGACATGATTTTCATGGCTGCTTTGTACAATGTAACTTTGTTGTAAAAAAAGCTTTTATTATTTTATTGTGAATTGAGTGATAGTTTACATGGCAGAACATTGGTTTTACATTCAGCCAGTCATATTTTGTTTCACTGCAATAATTACAATCCCCTCCATGCACCATCTGTTAACAGTATTTGCCTCTATTCCCTCATTTTTTTTGGATGTACACAAAAACACGCAGGAATACATAATCGTGTAAACAACAAAAGGGCAGTTTGCAAGCCAGCCCACCAGCACACAGGCTTTCTCTTTCCATGAGTCTAGAGTCCTCAGATGCTCTGTCTCTCCATGCCACCATCTCTGTGGTCTCTGATTCTCTGGTTAGGATCCCAAGTTCTGCTCATGCTCTTCCCTCTTGATGATCCTAGGGTCCCTATTCCTGGAATGTAAGATGAACTATTTCCCTCTTTTTGTTACTCATCTTCTACCTTTACAGTTGTGACAATCGCAATTAGGCATGATAACTATTTGTATAATGTAATTAAAAAAAAAAATTTACAAATAGCTTACCAGATTTTTCAGCAGTGTGGACAGTTCCTTTGTAAGAGTAGAAAACTTGACAAAAGCTGTTCCAAGATCGGGGTTGTCGCGACTTAAAAAATTGCTTCCAAACTTATCAAGGACTTGTGCATAGTTTTCTTCATTTTGTACATGATCTAAAAAAAAGGGAAGAAAGAATAATCTCAGCTGTATTTTTCACAGTGACGTTATTCTGAACACTGATCACTAGACACTCAGAACACAAGGCAGCAGAGAAGCTGCATCAATTATTCACTGAGGATACCTGGAAGGCAGCTGCAGTGAACTGGATGTTCTAACTCACTCTGTTGAAGGAGGCTTCTCCTCTCTCTTTCACACCAGTTAGTTCACCTCATTGTCCAATTAACACAACTCCCCCATTGGCTGAGGAGTCCAAATATCATCACAATTTCAAGCAATGAGGAAACAATAATTATTAGAGAACAAGGATTGATTTTCTTCTAGAAAATCAATATTGGAATGCCAAAGAAAAATTCGCATGTTCTCATGTTTATATGCAACTTACCTTCATTTTCATTCATTTTGTCTACACACCAGGCCTGAAGAATAGCATTTATAAAATACCTTTTCACATATCACCACTAATTGAAAATTGTTCAGGCTTGGATCAGGTGGATCTCTGTTGAAAAGTGGCTTCAACTCCTATGAGCTTGTTACCTTACTACAGAGTTTTTCAACTTCCATGACTAGCTGGCATATGAGATATATGAACCAAATATCTGTGGATTAATTTCTGATCCCTGAGCTTTGGTTTTCTTATACATAAAATGAAGTGAATATCTGCACATCACAGGATTGTGGTGTTGATGTTGTTGTTAAGTGCCACTGAGCTGGTTCTGCCTCACAGCACCCCTGTATAGGGTTTCTGAGGAGCAGCTGGTGCATTTGAACTGCGAACTTTGTGTGAATCCTGCAGCATTATACCAGGAGTCCATGGTGTTGATGAACAGACATAAAACATACAAAAGTTTCTTGATAGAATGAATGTTCCTTAAAGGATAACCCTGCGCGTGTCCTTTCATTGGCTTCCAGGACACACTGAACTTCCTTGATGTTCCTCCTACCTCCAGGCTGCTCTGCTTGGTTGTCTTTGCTGGGCCTTCATTTCTCTGCCCTCATTATGTTGGAAGACTCCAGGCCTCAGCCTGTGGGACTCTGTTGTTCTTCTATATTCTGTGCTCAACACCTGGGAAATCCCATCTCCTCTTAGGACTCCCGCTGTAGTGCTGTAGGATCAGCCCTGGACTGTGAACCACTAGATCAGCAGTTCAAACCCACAGAAACCCTACACAGAGGAGCTATGAGTCAGAAGCGACTTGACAGCACTTAACAACTTATTGCTTTTAACACTTTCTCTTCAGTTGACAATTCTACACTTGATCCCTCTGCAATACAGAGGTGTACATCTGAGTATTCTATACCTCCACTTGGATATCTAATAACTATGCTCAATCTTAACATGTCTAAAAAAGAAACCCTTGCTCTTCTGCCCCCATTTTTCTTTTTTTTTTCTTTCCTTAGAACCCTATTTCAGTGAATGGTAAATATATTCTTGTAGTTGTTTGTTCAAGCCAAAAATCCATCAAGTCATACTTGATTTTTCTCTCTGGCACCTCAGATGCCATCTACTGGTAAATACTGCTGCCCCCACTTTTACAATGTACCCCAAACCTGACATCTTCTCATCATCTCCACAGCCAGCACCTTGACCCTGATCTGATCTTACCACATCTGATCTCAATTCCTCCAAAAGCTGGGCTCTCTGCTGCAGCTCTTGCTATCCCAGCAGGCTGTTATCAACACAGAAGACAGTGTGATGCTGTAAAACCATATATCGGGGCCTAGGATCCCTGTAGCAGACACCACCAACCCTCACGGAGACTCAGGTTTTCTAATCCTTGCAGGTATATGGAAAGAAGGGGGTACTACCCCCACCTTGAAGCTAAAGCATGGAATGTGAAGTACACTGACCAAGGTCACATGAGAAGTCATGAGCTATCACTTGTATGTGGAAGCATTTCAAATGCCTGTGCTCAGCCGTCCACCCACAGTTCACAGAGAGAAAAAATCTTGTGTGTGTCTGGAGGCCCACCCAAGCGGTGGATTTACTGACTTGCCTAGCAAGACCCAACAACTCACCTTTCTGTGGTGACAATGGTTCTTCTTGGCTTGCACTCATCTGTCCTTGGACTGCAGTATTTTCAATCAAAGCCTATCGTGTTTGTCACGTGTTTGTCAGTGTGCTCACCTGGCTGTGCCATGAAACTATGGCTCTCCATGGTGCAGCTCTGCATCCCACCTCACTGCCATCACTGTGTGTTTTCCCAAGAGCTGGCCTCAGACTCGGTCAGTGGTAGGTGAACTGATTTCCTGAATTTCTCATTCCCTTAAACCTCTGGGTAGCTGAAGAACTGAGATGAAATCTACAATGCTTTACTCTTCAACACACTCTCAGTAAGTGCCTGGGAGCTACGGGCCACTCAGGAGGATCTGCCTGGGCACTACTTGTTTCACACTGCCCCAGGAAGCAAGTGTACACACAACAAGGGGAACAAGTGTCACGGCAGTCCAGTGAAAAGAAACGAGGCCCCAGCCGGCCACCTTCCTGACAAACAACTCCCATTAGAAAGTTGTGATGCTCCCAATGGGTACTAGCATTCCCAGCGGAGATAGAGAAAAAGATGAAATGTAGCTCTACTTACTGTTAAAGTTTACTCAGAGAACTGGTTCACAAAACACAAAACAAAATTCCTACCAGCTGAACAGACAGGGGCACATATTTGCTCTTTCTCAAATCCTGGAGCTACTCCTGATACTGCCGGTCTGAGACCACAGTACTCCCCCTCACCTTGTATGTGTCTGCAGGCTAGGAATACACTTCAGCTGCCAGTTCACTTCAATATCTTCCAAGGGGGAACAGTCTCAGTAATAAAAGACAAATATACTTATCGTTTTCCTGTTCTCTTGAAACTACCAAACATTTTAGAATAAAAATGAAACATATCCAAATGTACAGATTAATAAGGAGCCCTGCTGGCACAGTGGGTTAAGCACTGGGTTGCTAATGACAAAGTCTGCAGTTTGACCCCACCGGCCCCTCTGAGACAGAAAGCCGAGACTGTCTGCTTCTGATAGGATTTATACCCTCAGATGCCCTAAGGAGCACTACTACTCTGTAGTGTAGCTAGGAGACAGAGTCAACTTGATGGCGGGGGGGGGGTTGGGAGTTTGGGTTTACAGATAAGCAGAATAAATGCCTAATCTATTCAGCATTCATCTTTTTTTCCCCCAGTCAATTAGGATGTGTTTATTAGAAATATCCTTCTTTATCATTTTATACCATTTTACACCAATATAAAGCAGAATTGTTGCATGAGATTTTTCATCCCATGAGGTACCTACACAAATAAAATGCTTCCTCTCCCCTCTATCTCTCATGTTCTGTAGTTAAATTATACTAAACCCTAAGAAAGTGAAATCTATGAAAAAAACAGTACATTACAAGCAAACACAGTTCTCCAGATATCAACTGTATGGGTTGCAGAAACATTGTTTTAGGTTTGCAGATTTTTATATCCTCCAGCTTAAAATTTTTCTT